ACCTTGATGGACTCCTTTTGACTCTGTTTCCTTGTTAGGGGAGCCATCAGTGCAGCCTCTCTCAAGCCTTACATTTCGGTAACATATCAGGTCCCAGAACTTGACCTACAATATTTAAAGGGAATGTAGTTTTCTCTAATATAAAGTTGAGGCCAGCATTTCATAGGGACATTCTAATAGTATTGCACCAAGGAAGACCACTAAACCCCAAATATTTTAACATTTCTAACTTATTCCAGCTGTTGACCTGAACCAAAACTCCATTTCTCTCTACAGATGTCATCTGAAATTTCAAGCATTTTCTGTTATGATTTAACCAAACTCTAAATGGAATCGACATGCGAAGGCAACAATCAATGAATATTTCACCTGAACATATTGCAAATAAATTGCTTCCAAATTTTATGTTTTTCAAAATGCACCAGGAACAACTCTGTTCAGAGAACTTGGGAGTTACTCTGGTAAATTATGCACATCTACATACTTTTCATGTATGATGCTCCAGGGCAAATATCCCTAACATGCCAAGGGGTTGAAATGGAATTGACACTAGTCCAAAGGGTTGAGATCTTAGAATCATAGAATCCCTACAGTGTGGAAACAGGCCCTTCGGCCCAACAAGTCCACACCGAACCTCAGAGCATCCCACCCAGACCCATCCCCCTAATCTACACCTCCCTGAACCGTATAGGCAATTTAGCATGGCCAATCCACCTAACCTGCACATCTTTGGACTGTGGGAGGAAACCAGAGCACCTGGAGGAAACCCACGCAGACACGGGGACAATGTGCAAACTCCTCACAGTTTGAGGCTGAGGCTGGAATCAAACCCGGGTCCCTGGTGCTGTGAGGCAGCATTGCTAACCACCGTGCCACCGTGCCACCGTGCCACCCCAAATAAAGGTTTTCTATAGTCATATGAAACCTTGCTTGCACCATATCTGAAATGCAATGCTCTTTTCTGGACACCACAACATTTAAAGGATGTTTTGGCTGTGAAAGGAGCACCAGAAGAAACCCACACAGACAAGGGGAGAACATGCAAACTCCACACAGACGGTCACCTGAGGCTGGAATTGAACGTGGGTCCCTAGCGCTGTGAGGCAGCAGTGCGAACCACTGTGCTACCCATGTCTCCTTTTTTGTCATAATCTTCATTAGGAAGCATGGAGACTTCCCAAAAAAATTGAATGATGTAATTTATATATTTGATCACTTTAACACCCAAATACCAACTGCATGGCAGAGCATAATATGAATTCAGAACAACTGAAATCATCATGATGAAGGTTTAATGGTTAAATGTGGAAAAAGATTTAAAGAAGAGTATTGGGCATCATATATTATGGATATCAGGATAACGATCTACTTAGAATCAAGGCTGTATGCCTGTTGAAACTACCAAACCAACTTAACCAGTTCCCATTTAGTTTGTTTTCTGGGCAATTCATTATTTATGATCTTAGCTTGAAGAATTACTCTTTACAGTAAAATCGCAATGAATTGAATTTAGACAATCTGAAATTTCAGTTGTGCCATAGTTGTCAACCCGTTCCTGCTGGCAGAATAGCAAATCCAATAGAATGATGCCATGATAAACTGAATTTTCAGATTGGCAACTCCAGATTGGGCAAGTTTGGGCAAGCTCCTCAAATGATTGTGCCAAACAATTAGAACAGAATTAGGCCACACTAGAGTGCAGAATCACAGAGTTTAGTGCAAGCCATCTTTTGGCATCAATATCTCCTGCAGATGTAAGTTCACACCATGCAAGTGTCACTAAATCTGTGAGAAAGTTAAAGTGCTGTCATTTGCAGACAAAGTTAAATTGACACAGTGAGTGGAAAACTGTAGCAAAGTGAAAGTTGAATACCACTAAAGAGTGGGAGAGTCCACCAATGAGTTTGCCAACAATTTTGAAGCACAAGGCAAACATCTTGGAACGTTTCAACATTCAGGCATTCTCCTCATTAAGGAAAAGGATGAGAACAATTGCCTATCCTGACTTTGAAGAAGTTCAGCTGACATGGCTTGAGCAAAAGAATGATCCCAACTCTCCAATCCAGCAGAAAAAGGGAATGCCTTGGCAAAGAGGCTGAGCCAAGGAATTTACCTGCAAGGATGGATGACTGGACTGATTGAAGATAAGGCACAGTGTGCAGTGAGGCTATGGAGTTACGAAAGCAATGACAGAGAGTTGGTTGCAGAATGGTCTTGCCCATATCCTGAATGAGTGTGCACCAAGAGACACTGTTAACATGGATGAAACCAAACTGTTTTACTGTCTTTTTTTCCAGGTCACACTTTGATGTTGAAAACATGAAATAGTGGAAAACGGAGCAATGAATGTGTCAATGCACTGGTCTGTGCCATCCTGGATAGTACTGAAAAGCTGCTGTTTTTGTGACAGTTAAGTCCAAGAAGCCACATTGCATTGCTTTTCAAATGTCAAAACACTACCACCACAGTGCGAGGCAATAAAATTGCCTGGGAAACCTCCAGCACTTTTTGAACATGAATCAGGGAAATGTATCAATGGAAGAAAAGTGAGATTGTCACTATTACAGACAACTGATCCTGCAGCCTCACATCACTAACCTCAAAAGTGGAAGCTGACAATAATGCCTCTCAACACCATATCCAAGCTCTCGCCAATGGCTCAAGAGGTAATTAGGCAGTTGAAACCCACCACTGACAGCAGATGATCTTGTGGGTTATTAAGGTTATAAATAAGGGGCAGGAACACAACCAAACTGTCACAGAGGCCAATGTTCATGAGAAGGTATGGAAGACGGTGATGGAAGCGACAATTACCAACAGGTTGAACCACACTGGATTTAAACAGGTTACAACTGCGCAAGACAGCAAGATTGAGGAGATGTGGGATGAGGTCCCCTAAAGCTTGAAGTTTTTTTTGGTTCACCTTCAGGAGGCTGGCAAGGGACTTCCAGCAGAAACAGCCATGGAAAATGACACTGAGTGACACAGTGCGCTGAACAACTGGAACTGTGGCTGCAATATGCTCTTCAACAGTGGAGCCCGAGGGGAGCCAGTGACCCTGATGAATGAAATGAATACCCACCTGCTCACTCACTTGTTTCAAGGCAGTGGAGATGCCCTGAGATCTCACACTGCAGGACAAAAACGCCAAAAACATGACTGACTACACTGACAACATGGCAGATTGTAGCACACTCATCCAAAGTTGGAATGCTAAGCAGAAAAAGATTGCTGAGTTTTTAAGGTATGGTCAAACTGAAAATAAACACACTTTTTACATGTTTAGTGCTTTATTGTGTTTTAATTTTTTGATTTTCTTTTGCCATACAATGCATTTGCTGGCAAACTGGGCTGCAAAGGGGGGTCCTCAGCTATCTCAAAGCTCCACTTTATACAACGTTGTGTGTACATCCCTTGCAATTCAACTCATTGCACTTCCACTGTACATTAACTTTGGCTTCTGGAATCATTGTGTCTACAGAAGTTTTTTTTAAACAATTGTTGACTTGTTGAAAACATTGCTGTGGTGAAAAGTTTAAACGGAATTTAGACAGTTTCCAGTTTAGCAGGAACTGGAGGGAAATAGACTTTGGAATGGAAATGATGAATGAATGGTCTCATACGATCTTACATGATAGGCTAACCACAAGGAAGTTTGATGTGACCAAATGGATTTTGCCTTTCCTATATGCTGGGACTGTAATGCTTCGTTCTTTCCAGTGGACCACCATTGGAAACTTGAGTGAGCAAGTGGGAATCAGCAGAAGGTCCATAAAATAAGCTTGAATCTAGATACAGCAGTTACGGGTGTACTTCCCATTTGACTTTGTAAGAGGTGGAGTGTCCAGCTGCCCTTTTCAGACTGGTGAAGTTTGCAAGGTCAGGGATTGAGGCTGAAGTTGAGACTTCCATTCATTGGGAGTTACTGCAACCTTGCCCTTAAAGAAGATTGATATTTTCTGTCAGGGTAATTATACTGGACTCCTCTTGGGTGTCTATGGGTCTACCCTAGAGTTCTCTGCCAGAAAGAGGTATAGGTCCTGAAGATCAAAATCAATGTTAATTTAAACCTATAGGTACTCACTTACAAAGGGAGCTGAGGGGATGTTGCTTACTGGTTTCCTGGTGGGTTGAAGGGCAATGAAACACAATCCAAGGCCAGGCACACACCAGCATATGTAAGAACATCTTGGGCCAGATGTACTCCTGAAAGCTGCCACCAGTCTTGGAAGAGTGCCTGGTACCTGTACGCAGATTAAGTTATCATTCACTGATCCCTACATTTGAGTGGGATCAATAACAGAGATCACCGATGAGTGAGAATGTGCCATAATTTAGAGGGTGTTAAATCTCCTTGCTCTCCCATTGATTTTGTATAAAGAACCTCTCACTTAGTTTCCCCACATTACGACAGAGGCTTGTTTGCAAAATTACCCGATTGGGTATGAAGTACTTTGAGACACATTGAGATACTGAGATTGTGAAGGGCGTTATATAAATGCAAGGTGGTTCTTTTAAGATCCTAAAGATTCTCCTCAGTTTTCAAACCTAATCATCTCTTTCCCTTGGAGCGCCTTGATTGTGCTAGTGAGCAAAGGGACATAGAGACATGGTAACTACGAGATCGCTGTACAATTTAGAAAAAGAATACCAGTGGAGAACTTGGTGCAGTACACTTTTTTTTGTTCTGGAATCTTTACTTCAAAAACACTATTTTAGTTCAAAAGTTACTGTAAAATTCTAAGTCAGCTCAGTTGGTGTTGCAGTGGCTTTCTTGTACTTATAACTTCAGCCCAGGATTACCTGTACATGGGCCTGATGTCTTCACATGCATTAACAGCAGTGAGTTTACCACAAATCCACATGCGGCTCTCACCATATTTTCAGCTGAAAATAAAAACTCTGCTCTAGTTTCGTGTGCCAAACAGTACTCGCTGCTGCTTTTTAGTTTGGTTGGTGTGATACTTGCTCAAGTAGAGCCACCTGTTTGTTTTGCTTATTTACAGTATAGTGACATTTACATCCTCTGCTAGAGAGAGTCCTGAGTCCCAAGTGGGTATATTGGCAACCGGGTGAACACGTGGGTCCTGCTGGGCAGGTAAGCCCTTATTAAGATGTGAGTTGTAATCTTCCTTAAAAGTAGCACAAGCAGACGTAGCTTCCAGAGACAATCCCTGCTGTTGTTGCTGCTGTTGGAATGCATAACTCACATTCCCACAAGGAAAATGCTGCAGGCGGAATAGAGGCACATCCAATGTACTGGCAACAAGGGAAGAAGGTTCTAGTACAACAGCAGATGCCTGAGGCCTGGAATTTGGGATGGTAGTAGAAGTACCACCGCTGGCATGGAAACCAGAATCTTCCCTTTCTTGTGGCCTGTTGTTGTCAGTCAAAATATTGTTGTTTTGCACGATGGGTTTTTCTGTGAACCATGACCCATACGTAGGGTTCCAGAGGTTGGTGGGTTTTTTCCGGGAGCCCCTACCTTGTTGTGAAGCAGAAGAGTTGTTCATTTGTGAGTACGTTTTATTGACATGAGACCCATCCTCAGCTGGCCTTCCGGTATGTACAACGGCAGAATCATTGGGAACAAATTTGACCCGGTGTTCACCAAGGCAGAGGCTGGTTGGACGCTGGGGTGGCAGGGCAAGGTCAGTGGAAGCTCCTTGGCTCTCAGTTTCTTGTGCTGGTGAAACTAAAAGAGGCGCTAATCCATCAGGGTCATCTGGGCGCACGGGAGCATTTCCTTCCTCTTCTGCTGGAGGCCCATATTCTACAGGCAAGGAAGTGTTTATTACATCAGGATCCTAGGGAAAAGGCACAAACAAAACATTGTTAATGATGGGATCGCAGGTCACGTGGCAAACCTGTGACTTAAATACACTGCCCTCCCCACCAAAGCATGAAACACACAATACATAAGTGGAACTCTTGTTATGCAAACAATCAGGCCCAGTGTTCCCAGATGCGCAAAAAGAATTAGACAGTTAGTTGTTTGTTAAAAGTTCCTCCAGTGAGCCAACAGAAGCTGCCTGAGGGATTATACTGTAAACACCACCTTCAGATAGGAAAAATATCTAAAATATTAATTGTACTTATATGTGTCTATAATAGTTTTCTGTTTATGAAACATCTTATTTTCTACTTTCTAATCGATTATCTCAACAATCATGATGCTTGTTTCATTTAATGAATATTAGCCTCCTCAAAATGATACCATCTCACTATTGTTGTCTCTCACTGGCTGCAAAGAAACAGGTTAAAATGACATGAATCTATCAGTAATGACACTAGATATGCACCAGTTGGACAAAATCAAAAGGAGTGCATCTACCTACTCTGTTATTCACACTCACACTCGGTAGATGGCTGTGATCTCCCTCCTGTTTTGAAGCAGTATTCCTCAATGTAGCTTCTAGGTTCATTAGCGTACACTTATTTTTACATTTGGTCTTTTGATTTAAAGAATGAACTTCTTTATGTTTACTCTCCTCTATTTCTTCTGACTGTTGTCAATTGGTTTTGATACTGTGCTAGAAAATCAAAGGCAGCGGCCCTGATTTTCATTCCCAGGACAAGTGTGCAGGATCAGGAGAGATCTCGGCTCTGTGACTTAACCTTTCAGTTGAGGAGGGACTTCTTCACCTAAAGGATTGTGAATCTGTGGAATTCTCTGTCAGTGAAACAATCGAGGCGATACCGATGAATGTTTTTAAGGCAAGGATAGACAGATTTTTGAACAGTAAAGGAATTTAAGGGCTACGGTGAGCGGGCGGGTAAGTGGAGCTGAGTATACGAAAATATCAGCCATGGTCTTATTAAATGGCGGAGCAGGCTCAATGAGCCAGATGGCCTACTCCTGCTCCTTTTCCTTCTGTTTTTACGTAAAAATTTCTGCCTGCAATTCCGATTTTTCAATCCAAGTTGGATGATGGATTTAGCTGGGTGACTCAGGAAAAGCTTAAGAGGCTGCCAGTTCCTGAGGAAGGCCAGTTGGGGCTCCAGCACCATGGTCAAAATATTAAACTAAAATTTAAAACAGAAAGTATCCCATCTTCCTACTATCCTGCTCCCTTCTCTCCATGCCCCAAAGGCAACCTATGCCCCTATATCCACCCCTTATACCCCTTTGCCAATTTAGTGTTTACTTTTGCCCTATGCCCTTTCCCCCTGCACCTTACCATGTCAACTCATTGAGGGACACATACACATAGGAGAAAGGAAAATCTAAATTTCTATATTGCTGGAAACACTCCATTGAGAAATGCACTCGGATCCATAAATACACATTTTGAAACTGGTTGAGATGTCTTGGCAGATTGAAATTTGCTGACACTTGTTGACATGTTGGACACTTATGAAGTGTTTATGCGATTTTCACACAAAATTTTATTTGGTTAGCTGTCCCAAAGCACATGTAATGTCCTATTTGCAAAATGATCCTCAACTCCAAACATGAAGGATTCTTGACACCCACCTCCAAAGGAGCCCTGACCCTCACCTCCAAGTTATTCTGGGACTAGCGCTATCCAAAATAAACGCATTGTGAAGAAACATGTTCTGATTTGATCTCCACACTCCAACTTCCAGACAATAGGGTCTCCAAAATCTGAATTCAGTGGAGTTAGCTGGTCATTTAAATAGCCACCTGTGTCCAGGAACTGTGCATGTGCAAACAATGGACCACCCCCCAATCCCAGCCCTGGGAAAATGAGAAATGCCGGGTTCAGTGACAAAATGTTGGATTCTCAACCTCTTTCAGTGTTTCTGCTGTAGAGAAATGCTAGAGCTCAGTACTGGCGAAAATCAGGACTCATCAGTTCAAATCCCATCAATGCAAATTTTGAATGTGACCTTACAAGCAAATCACAAATAAAATCATCCTCCTGTTAGTCTGAACCTTCTACGTCTCTCCAGTCCTACAATAACACTCTCTGGCCAACCTATGATTGTAACAAATAAATGCTAGGTGTGCAGCTTTGATCATGTCTCAAAAACAAGTTTAAGGTTTTTCGACTTGATAATTTGAGGGAAAAAATACCAGAACTCTCTTTTCATATTATATAAATAGATACAAATTTGATGAATTAGCTCTCCTCACTTCTCTGTTATTTAAGGTTTATTCTGATTTTCTTTCAAGTTCTTTCTGTGTCTCTATATTGCAATCCCATCAGAGTGTCAGTATCAATTGGAATTCTTCTCTATGAACTGGAAGTATGAACTATTGATTTTTATAATGACTCTTGCCCCCATTTCCTTTTATCTAGCTGAATAATTATTACATGAACCATTTTGTCTTAAATTTCATGAACTTCCATTTTTGACCCCTTTTAGGATCCTTAGCTGAACACTTTTGGAAGTTTTGGTTTACTATCATATTATCCTCAAAGAATCCAATCTTAGAAGACAACGTGCTGTCTGAAATCCTAGAAAAATGTAACCTCAACTGAGAAATATCAGAAATATATGTAAAGGTTACCTGTGTGCAATAATCAATTCGTTCCAATATTGTTGCAAAGTTAGGCCTGTCCTCTGGCTGGTGCTGCCAACACTGAGTCATAATTCGATATCTGAAATATTAAGAATTAAAATAGGAAGAAATTAGTGGTATCTGTTAAAATTTATACAGTTAATTGTTCATATATTTTCCCTTTATTTCGACCTTGTGATGACTTCCACTGTAGGGCTTTATTTTTACAAAAACATAACTGTTGATGTGAGTCTCAATAGCCATTAGTATCAACAGTAAGAAACTTTAGCGAAAGTGAGATTGCCTCATTCAAGCTGAGTAGCATGTGACAACATAGTGCCCTTTGGAAGCAGTACTGTTTTTAAATGTGACATGAAGTGATTTGTGGGAATAGCTATTGTCACTGCCAGTTCCTTTTTTTTTAGAATCTGTACAGTGTGGAAACAGGCCCTTTGGCCTAACATGTCCACAGTGACCCTTGGAGCATCCCCCGCCAGACCCATCCCCCTATAACCCACCTAATCTACACATCCCTGAGCACTGTGGGCAATTTAGCATGGCCAATCCACCTAACCTGCACATCTTTGGGTTGTGGGAGGAAAGTGGAGCACCTGGAGGAAACCCAGGCAGACACGGGGAGAATGTGCAAACTCCACACACACAGTCACCCGAGGGTGGAACTGAACCTGAGTCCCTGGCACTATGAGGCAGCAGTGCTAACCACTGAACCACCGTGCCGCCCTTTTTAAAAGGTATTTTCGGATTGACCATCCGAGCAGCAGTAATAGATTACCGGGCATGGACTTTTTTAAGAATCACCGACAACAGCATTTGTGGAAGCAGTAGACATTAAGGTTTGCAAGACCTTTCACCAGTAACAAAGGAAGAATCAGGGCTGAAACCACAAGTCCGCCCTCTCCCTTGCCCCATCTTGCCCTTGTCAAGTTTGGACTTGGGAGAAGGTGGCAGCCCTACATTAAAGTTACTTCAGCGTGGCTACTGACATATTAAAGAGGAGAGGACAATACTGTAATGCTTCAAAGTTAGATCTACGGACACAAACACAGCTACACTTTGACACATTAATTATGCATTTCATTCTTAAACAGTTCCTAATTTAACCACCACAGGAACAAATATATAAATCAGCTTGCAAATTCCCCTTAATTACAGAGCTTTAGTTAATGTAAAATGTTGTCTGTCTGTGCACCATTAGACCTGTCAATGCTGTGGGTGTGATCAGGACACATGGATTACTTATTAAACTGGATCTCAGACTCTCTAATTACTCCTTCATTCTCACGTGACATATCAAGATAAAAATAAAATATTCCAAGATTACCTAATTTCAATAATTAAAGCAAAAGTCATTTCATTTCTCTCATTTGTCATTTTTTCTTATTTTGGAATGGACTTCAGAAACACAAATATTATATGCAAATTCCTGTCGGATGAAAATGTGCTAATTCTTGGAGTCTGTACTGTTGAACATGGTTATATACCAAGTCCAAATATCTTTCCAGTATATACAATCAACTCTTTTATGCTTAAGTCAAGTACTTTAAAAAATTAGCTTTCAATTCCTGTCAATTACTGAGATGAAAGGTAGGAACTTCTCTTGAAAACAAAAGATGCTGGAAATCACAGCAGGTCAGGCAGCATCCGCGGAGAGAGAGCAAGCTAACATTTCGAGTCTAGACGACACTTCATCAGAGCTGACGTGAAGTCTGGTGGGAGCAGCATTTATGCAGTAGTGGGGGGTGTGGAGTGCTGGGGGAGAAAGGATGTTGATAGAGCAGATTAATGTGAGAATGGCAGAACAATGGTGTGTCTACCTGCCAGACTGGAAAGAACAGACAGTCCCACCGGCTTGTGGGGGAGGGGAGAGAGGACATGGTGACAGAGAATGTAACAGTAAAGATAAAGGAAAGGGAAGAAATGGGAGTGAGTTCACAACCTGAAGGTCTTGAATTCAATATTAAGTCTGGAAGGCTGTAAAGTGCCCAGTCTGTAGATGAGATGTTGTTCCTCCAGTTTGTGCTGTGAGTCACTGGAGCATTGCAGCATGCTGAGGACAGACCACTGGGTATGTGAGCAGGATGCTGTGTTAAAATGCCTGGCTATGGGAACGTTGGGGTCATGCTTGTACATGGACCACACCCTCAGTGTTTGGGTTAAATAGAGTTCCGAATGCTGTGCAGTATGAGAAACAACATGCAGCGGAGAATGACCAGTTAGTGGTCAGAGGATGAGCTTGAGAACAGTAAGCAGGATCTCTCAAAGGGAGGGTCCACTAGGAGGTTCTCCAGCATTGCAAAAGCAGAGGGTTGTCTCTCCCTGAATAATAGAGGGGTGCACCTCTAGATAGAGGTGCTATCTCTCCAAAATTTTTAACTTGTAAATTTTAAAAACCACCTCTGCTGCCAGACCACAATTGTTTAGGGAGAGCCCTAGAAGCGGGTACCTGCAGATGTAACCAGACAGGAAGGAAGTGCCTCAAAGGCTGGCTGGAAATAGCCACATGTTTGCCCTTGTCATACAGGGCTCGAAACTGACTGGAAAATTCTTGCTAATCTCTGACAAGAGGCTTTAATTGGCTTATCCCTGTGCTGTACTGTTCTATGTTCATGTTTTAATTGCAGTGAAATGTCATTAACACTGAGAGAAGGATCAAACTGCTGTACAGAGTGAAACAACAGGAACATTTAATTTACTTAAATAGAATTTCAAGGGGACCAGATGCAAAACAGTTTGAAAATAATTTACGTACACAGGACCGGGGCAGTTTTTGGGTGGATCCATTCGACCACCACTTGTGACAAACTCCAGCACTTCTTGGTTACTCTTACTGGGGTACGGCATGTACCCAAGTGAAAAGATTTCCCACAGTAACACTCCAAAGGACCTGCAAATAAATAGCAAATCTCAGTCTGTTATACTGTTCCAGGTTATGTCACTAAGTTAAAATTCCCCATTTTAATGCTTTATCATACGTTACATAAATTACTAGTTTCAACCTTCCTTTTCATTGTCTCATGAGACACTGATCCATTAGCAGGTGGGAATGCACTTGGTCAAGCAAGAGGCTTCCTTGCCTCTGCTAGAAGTGTACAAAAGTAGTCCAATGCCTTCATGATACCATCCCTATCAATCTTCAGGCATTTGACTCTGCCAGATAAATGCTAACAATAAATAAGAGTCTATCTCTTACTGCAATTCATAAACCAGTTAAAAAAGACATGGCAATGAACATGCAGCACAGATCTATTAAACTACTGATCCCACTGCAAATTTAAAAGCACTATCTGATATGAAAAAGTTAAGTTCAGGATCCAGAAGTTACCAGTTGAAAATCAAATATATTCTTATTGCTTGTAATGCTATTTCCACTTCATGTGAAGTTGTGTATTTTTCAAGTTTACTTTTGTGCTCATTAAGATGGTGATATTCAGTCCAAAGGAATCAGTTCCCAGTAGCAGCATTAAGTAGAGTAATGGCAACAGCAGTGTGATTTTGTTTCGCTATCCACACATCTATCTTTTTGAGCTTTCATAGAAACATCGAATCAGATAATACAGAAAAGCCCCTTTGGTCCATCCAGCCCATACTGCCAAATAAGTACTCCCACCTACACTAGTCCCACTTTCTGACACTGGTCCCACAGCATGGAATATCATGACACTTGAAGTTCGCAGCCAAGTACTTTTTAAAGGTTGTGAGGTTTCCTGCCTCAAGTACCCTCCCAGGCGATGTATTCCAGACCCTTATCAGCCTCTGCATGAAAAAGTTTTTCTCAAATCCCCTCTAAACTTCATGCTTTCACTTTAAAATGATGGCCCCTTGTTATTGACCCTTCAACTAAGGGGAACGTCTATTTTCTATTCACATTGTTCATGCTCATCATAATCTTATATAGTTCTATCAGGTCCCTCCCTCAACCTTCTCTGCTCCAACCCGAGGTTGCCCAGCCTTTCTTCACAGTTGAAATGCTCCATCCCAGGCAATATTCTGGTGAATCTCCTTTGCACTGCCTCCGGTGTATTCATATCCTTCTTATAGTATGGTGACCAGAAATGCACACTGTACTCCAGCTGTGGCATAACCAAAGCTCTGTAAAGCTCCAACATTATCTCCCTGCTCCCTTGCCTTGATTAATTAAGGCAAACATCATATATGCCTCCTTAATTGTCTTTTTAACTTGTCCTGCCACCTTTGCAGATCTGTGGACAAGCATCCCAAGATCTCTCTGTTCCTCTGAGCTGCCTAGTGTCTTGCTGAGTACTCCCTTGTCTTGTAACCTCTTTCAAAGTGCAACTTTTCACATTTTTTAGGGTTAAATTCCCATCTGTCATTGATCTGTCCACTTAACCAATCTGTTTATATTGTCCTGTAACCTAACACCTTCCTCCTCACTGTCAACCACCCAGCCAATCTTTATGTCATTCACAAACTTTACTGCCCACCCCCTCACTCTCATCTACATCATTTATAATACAATAAGGCACCCAGCATCGATCCCTGTGGTATGCCACTGTACACAGGGCACCAGTTACATAAACTGCCTCCGACAATCACCCTCTGTCTCTCATCACTAAGCCAATTTTGGATCCAACTTGCGAAGTTACCCTGGATCCCATGAGATTCTTTATCAGCTGAAATCCATATAACTTACATCATCTGCCCTTGCCCCATTCAAACACTTAGTTACCTCCTTGAAAAATTCCGGTAGATTTGTTAGGCACGTCCTCCCTCTGACAAAGCTGTGCTGACCATCCCTGATCGAACTTTGCCTCTCTAAATGGAGATTAATTACTCCTTCACCATTTTTTCCAATCCTTGCCTGACCACTGTTGTTAGACTCGCTGGTCTATAGTTCCCTGGTCTATCTCTACCACACTTCTTGTAACATGAAACTTCATTAGTGGTCCTCCAGCCCTCTGGCAGGACTTCCTGTCGCCACAAGCAAATTGAAAATTTAGGTCAGGGCTTGGGTACAACATTTCTTAGAACAGCCTGGGGTACAATTCATCTGGACATGGGAATTTGTCCACTTTTAAATCCACCAAAACCTTCAATCCCTCCTTGCATCTCATATCAATCTGCTTAAGGGCTTCATAGTCCATGTTCTCAAATGCTATACTTATATCCTCCTTCTCCTGAGTACAGACACATGTGAAGTCTTCATTTAAAACTCTACCAATGACATCCGGTTTAATGCACAGATTGCCCCCTTGGTCACTAATAGGCCTGACTCTATTATTGGTTATTTGCTTTCTCTTGATATACGTGCAGAATATCTTGGGATTCTACCTAATCTTGCTTGCCCCTGTTTTCTCATATCCCCTCTTTGCTTACATAATTGCTTTATTGAGCTCCTTCCTGTACTTTCTATACTCCTCTCGGGACTCAGTTGTTTTGCTTCCTTTGTACTTTTCTCAACTATTGTCTTTGACTTTCAACCTCTCCTGGCCCTAGTTTATCCCAGCCCTTTACCCTACATGAGCTGTAAACTGTTGCCACAACTCTCTGTTCCAAAAATTCTAACCTCTTGTGCATTCCCTTTTCTTTCACCCAACATCCATAGTCAAGAGACAACAAGGTGCAGGGCTGGATGAACACAGCAGGCCAAGCAGCATCATAAGAGCAGAGAGGCTGACGTTTCGGGCCTAGACCCTTCATCAGAAAAGG